TTAAACAAAGTTATTTTAAAATTATAAATACAAGTATTTATCATACTATGTGAGGTAGGTTAGATGAATTATTTTTCTCCATTGTATTATGTTAACAGCTAAATTATCGTTTAAATCTTATAAAATAATCATTTCTAATATTTTCTAATCAAATATTTTTAGATATTTTTCTATGTTTATTTATGCTTTTTAGGTCAAATCTAATACATCTTCTATCCTAACCGGGTCATTAGAAGGTCAACGTTTTACGTGACCAAACTATCCAAGGCGACTCTCTCTAATATGATCAGCCACTAGAGCAACTCCAATATTTTCATGTATGTACTCGTTTCACATTATGTTTATAAGAGTGAAGCCACTCATCCACCTAAGCATTCTCATCTTTGCAATACTAAACTTAGTTTTATGCTTCTCTTTTAATGGCCAACATTTTGCAATATAAAGCATTACAAGTCTCACGACCATTTTATATAATTTTTCCTAAGTTTGAGAGGTACTTTCCTATCACACAACAAACCTAATGCATTCCTCCTTTTCAACCATCTAACTTAATCAAGATTTCTAAAATATGTGCTCTTATTAATAACTTAATCGCCCAAAATCTCAATCCCCCCACTAAATCTATTACTATTAAAATTATACTCAATGTACTCAATTTTATATCTACTCAAACGAAAAACTAAAAACTTTTTATTTGACCTCCATAATTCAAGTTTTCCATCAACTCCCTCTCTAGTCTTATCAGCAAGAAGAATAAGTAGTCCAAAAGACATCAAAGAACTTTAAAATTTCTAAAATCATAAGTATTTAAATCAGTTAAAATTTTTCTAAAATCTTAAATCTCAAAGAGAGATATCTTCTAATAAGTCGTCCAAGGAAACTTTAACTTAACGGCCTATTTAAAGTAGCTTTCTAACTATTTTATTTTTAATATAACAATCATATTTTCATTTAGCTATTGCTTTCTTTTTATTATCTTGTTGTTTTACAAAAAAAAATGGTGGGAAGTTGTATTTTGCAATTAGATCGACTAATTTGTAGAACAAAAAGAAAGTTGATATTTAAATTTTCAAAAAAGAACATATTTATACTACCCAATAGTATCGAAAAAATAACTTCTCCCACAATCACTTCGCAACCACATTAATAAAATGTTGTATTGTCCCAAACATACCCTTAGTCTTCAATACTTTGCTAATGAACTCACGAGAGATATGCATCAATCGTTCTCCAATCAATGCCATATAAAAAAGAGCTTGCCAATTCATCTTAAACATTCACCTACTAACTAGAGGTTATCTTCCTCAATCTAGAACTCATCTACATCTCATAATCTGAGCTAGCTTTATGCACAAATCACTTGCTACATAGTGATTATAACATATTCAATCTCAATATTCTTCATGTAATTATACAATATTGTCCATTATGTAAACATTGATCTTTGTATCTGCTTATAAATAGGGCATTAATGAATATTCATTAACACATGAAGCCTTAATAAAATTCTCTACAAAATCTCTTGTATTTTTAGTTGCAACTTAGCTTTATTTACATTTTTTAGTCTAAAGGGTTCAACATGGTTCTCTATTAACTAATTCTCCATGAGATTCATTTGAGAGCTACTTTATCTCTTTTCTTCTCACATATCGGGTGTGAATCATTTTTTCAATATGATCTTAATATTTTTCAACATACATTTTGTGATCAAACATCATATGTATTGTGGCAAGCATGGATCAAGCCAAAGGTTGGAACTTGAACATGGATCGCCTTGAAGATCACCATTGATATCTTCATGGCAAGTGATCTAACATGCACATCACTTTCAAACCAGTGTAATATATGGAGAATCATTTGGCAAAGATGATTCATAATATATTTGAGCACCTTCCACAATCCATTCATATTCCTTATTCCTCTCATGGACAAGATTATGTTGTGTCCATTAAGTGTCGATGACATCTAACTCTAAAGGACTATTATTACAACTTTGTCTCAAGATGATGAGCCATATCTTTTAGAGGAGAGTAATTTTGAGATTTCTTTTCCTTGTCAACCTATAAAGCATGAGGCCTCAACAAATCCTTTTTCAAGCCAAACTATATAGGCTTAAGCTCCATTGAAGTTCAAGATGTTAGTGCTAGACTTATATAAAGGGAATTCATATTCTAATAATTTTCATTATTATTATTTTTTTTCTTTTTACTATTATTGAAATAAAGAAATAACATATGATCTTTATTGTGTTTAAGGGCATACCACTACAATGATTCTCTTACTATTGAGATAAAAACTAATTGAGCCAAAGTGGTAGTAGACAGTGAACATTTTGATTGTTTTATAATGATCAAGAAAGAGAGAAAACATGTCGTTGAGGTTGCACGAAGGAAAAAAAATCAATGGAGCAAAATTATGAGGATTTTTAAGTATGAATTTGAAAATGTTATATTTGTAATTAAGTATAGTGTTGATAATAATATACCATTCCAAATTACATAAATAATATTTTACAATGGGTTGAAAGAAAACTGCATATTTAAAAGAAAGTTAACATTCTAGAGACCATCCTCTACTTGATATGTGGGTGTCAAATAAGATTTCTATTATTATGAGCCAATGCATATTTCTAATAAAAGAAAACCCATATAATTAATCATATCACAAGAGAGATTGTTTTCTATGAGCACTCTCAATTAAAATAGTGATAAACATATTTATGATTTTAAAGTTGAATAAAAGTGTGACTTATAAATTTTTGAATGGGATTGATTCAACATCAAAATAGTTCTTTCTTGTGGAAGCCAAACGAAGAAAATTAATGATCACTAAAATTATGAGAAGCTCAAAAGTGTTTAACATTTTGAGCTTTTTTATAATATTTGATATGACAAATTTATTTAAAAAATTGGAACTTATATTTTAAAGCATTTAATTAATTATCAGAGGTCATGATTAACCTCTAGAACAACTCATGAGAATTCATAATCCTTTGAAATTCATTAAAGCATTTAATTAATTATCAAAAGCCTTTACTTTAAAAATTAAAATTTATGTACAATTTTACTTTATATTATTTTGATTTCTCTATTTATTTTTATTCAAGAGAAGGTTTATTCATAATTTTTTTAATTTAAATTGATATAATTATGGCATTTTATAGTTTCAAGGTTTAATTAAATTGATTTAATTCAGTTACCTTTTTAATTACATGGTTAGTTACCCTTTATTGATGGAAAGCAATTGGCTCCTAAGGGTTTGAGGTGGGACTTGATTGTCACAATGGATAGACTAAATCGTGTGGTTCCTCAATGAACGAGGCAGTTGGGTCAATGTCTTCAACCTCCAACTAAGTAGGATGAATTATTAAATTTGGGTCAACGATTATCAAAGACAGAGACCACACTTGGTGTTAATTTCTTCCCACACCTTCAAGAATGTAAGACCTATCATCCTATTGGTTTATGTCATCTTGCATGACTCTTCCCTTCATGATGCACTAGATATCCTTGGGATATTTTATGGGTTGGAGGCTAACTATCACTAGACCTCTTTCCCATGGTGAAGCAAAATAGAGAAGCTTCACTTAGTGAAAAGAGGCTTTGATGTAGGTTTGGGCACTTGCCTCTTCAACAATCTTTTTGGAGACCATTGTATTGTCATGGGATTTTTGGAGCTTGTGGCTCTCACTCAAAAAAGTGTAGGATGGAGTGGGAGGCTTGAGATCATTCACACTCATTCGAAGGAAGAAGTCATGTGAATTTACCGAATTGAAGAGGTCCATTACATAAGTAAGCTTACATAAGTTGGCTCTTCCGCTCAATTTGAGAAGACATGAGTACAAAATTGAGAATCGAAGTTGGTTTCATATGATTGTAATAGAGATTATTACAAAAATTGTGGAGGGTGGTGATGGCGATTAGGCCATTGTGATCTTTTGATGACACTAAGAAAATAGCGCTCGAATGATGGTGGATGAGCGATAGTGGTTGGACGATGGTGGTTATACGATGATTGTTAGATAATAGTCAAGGGATTTTCATGCATAGCAGTTACATTTATATAATTTATAAATTTTATTTCTAACTTTACTATTTATATATAAAGCACCCAAAAAAAACATGAACTTCATTCGTGAGTTACCAATCCCATTTCCTACACAGTCATAGATGACAGTGCCCTCGCATTTGCTACCACCTACCTCTAAGCTCTGCATGCACACTAATCTTGTTCCCCGGCATGCTCCACTTATGTGGGATCATGATCCATGATGGCAAATGCATACTAGTCATCAGTGGAGCATGTAGGGAACAAGACTAACATCATCAACGAGCTATCGACCCCACCACTTGCATAGTCAGATATGTCGATACCCTTACCTGCTACTATTCCAATCTCCACATGCACACTGGTCTTACTCCCCACATGCTTACGAGCTCCACTCTACCCTGCAACATATCCTTGTCGATATCTTTACCTATGAGCTCTAAAAAATATTCGAGGATATCAACTAACATCATTAATAAGAGTATTAAATTATATAAAAAATAAAATTTGGACATGGAATATGTAAATTAAAATAATTTTAAGTGAATAAAAATGAGGAGATTTATGAAAATCTCATTTTATCTCATACTTAAAACTTTAATATTTTATATCTATGAGTCTATGTAAGGCAAATCCTCAAAATCCCTCAGGGCGGCACACAAATATACCAAAAGCGCAGAAGCAGTTAAGCACAAAACCACAGGGCAAATTATTGGGTCAGGTGACCGAACGCAGAGATAGGTCCGGATATTAATAAAATATTATTTTAAAATTAGCGCAAGTAAAGCACAATTAAAGCGCAGGTAAAGCGCAACTAAAGCGCAAGTCAAAAAGCGCAACTAAAGCGCAACCAAAGCACAAGTCAAAAAGCGTAACTAAAGCGCAAGGTGACGCGATAAATTTTTATTAGTTGTCCGAACTTATATTTCGCCTCCCATCACCTGTCCCAATAATTTCCAAACCACAGCCACTATCCTCGCTCCATCTTATCTTCCCCTATTCTCCCTTCGCACCAAACAGTCGAGAGTAACCAAACGCATACAAAGAATGGCATCCTTAGCCCTCTCCTCCGTCTCCCTCATCTCCTCCTCCTCTTCCTCCTCCTCCCTCCCCTTCCCTTCCAAGACCCTAGCCCTCCCCTCTTACCGCCGCCGCCACCTTCGCCTGACCCCAATCTCTGCCGCCACCAAAATAGAAGAACTTGGAACCCAAATCGAAAACCTAACCCTAGCCGAAGCCAAAAACCTCGTCGATCTCCTCCAAGAGCGCCTTGGAGTCTCCGCCGCAGCCTTCGCCCCCGCCGTCGCTGCCCCGGCTGGCGGTGCTGGCGCCGCCGACGCCGCCGCACCAGCCGTCGTGGAGGAAAAGACGGAGTTTGATGTTATCATTGAGGAGGTGCCGAGCAATGCAAGGATTGCGACTATTAAGGTTGTGAGGGCGCTTACCAGCCTTGCGCTTAAGGAGGCGAAGGAGCTGATTGAGGGTCTCCCGAAGAAGTTTAAGGAGGCTGTGAGTAAGGATGAGGCGGAGGATGCGAAGAAGAAACTCGAGGAGGTTGGTGCTAAGGTTTCCATTGCTTAGAGCTGGAATTTTGGTGAAATGGAAAGGTTTGATCATCATGAAAAGCTTGGCTTTTCTTTTATTTGTACCAATGTGATTTTATTCAATTACCAGCTTTGATCTGTAGCTTATTAGTATTAGGTTTTTTTGTTGCGTTTCTCCTCCTGTTTCAGATTCTGCGAAGGTAATTAATTATGTTATCTGATTCAGATATTGCAATTGCAAATAACTTCTGTTACTCGAAAGAGCTTCCATTCTGTTTTTGGAATAGCGACATGTTTTCTTTTATTGAAAAAATTGATGCTCTCTTCTGCAAGTTTGAGAAACTTGATGTTCTGGTTGTGAAGCACTTGCACCAAGGTCTATTTCATGAGAAGCTCAAAGTAAAATCATAATTAAGGCTTAGTTTGGAACAACTTTCTTACTTCTTTAAGAAGCAGTTTTTTAGTACAAAAATTCTAAATTGAAAAAATTTTGTGCTAAAAAACAGCTTCATAAAACAGTAAGAAAGCTGCCCCAAATGAAACCTAAGTTTTGAAATTGAGTTTCAGTTTTTGTTTGCAGAAATTTAACAAGAATTAGTTATCATTTTCAAATTTTATCTTGATGATTGTGAGAAGTGAATTCCGTTTATGATTGCTTAGAAGCAACCTTCACTTTTATATTTTGCATGAAGTAATTAATAAGATTAATATGAAATTATAGGGAGGATGGTTGTAGTTTTATTTCTATTTATGTTATTAGTAATAATAAAAGAAAATATCATTAATGACTGAAAAAGAAAACTGGCCAAGTTTTTAAAGTTTAAGTGAACATAACTTGAGTTGATTTACTTAATCTGTCTTTCCTAACATTTCAGATTTATCAGTCAATAGCTTCCTATTTTACATGCATAGTTGATTTACTTAATCTAGTTAGTTCTTATTTTGTTTAGTAAACGTTGCAAAAAATTTTACTCAAACACTGCTTCTTTATATACCAAAAAGCTAAATTACTTACTGAGCTGAACAACGGTAGTTGTGAACATTGATAGTCTTATTGATCTCAAGCATTTTCATGAACATTCAACAATAACAACAATAACATCAAACTTTTGTACCACTGCATGGGGTCGGCTACATGAATCCTTTTTCTCCAGTGTCCTCGTAAATGTCAAATTTTCGTTTAAATCTAATAAAATCAAAGGTGCTTCGCTTGAACAACGTTGTTGCCCAATGAAATGCATTAGAAGAGCTTAACAAAAGGAGTAAATGATAGCAGTTTTTATTAGATGGCCTTCTCCCATTGCCTAGTATGATCTAGCATAAGCTAATTGGCAAATAATTCATAATTAGAGGGTTTATATTGTTTTGGGTGTTTCTTCTAAATATTAACCTTTGAATTCTTGGATGGCTCTGTTACTTACATTGCACATGTTCACCATTCACCAACAAGAGAAGCAAAACTGTATGACTTCTTACACTTTCTACAGTGAATGGGAACAAGAGAAGCAAAATCTAATCAGGCATTATTAAAAAGACTATTTTGAATAATTTCACCTTTTTATACTGTACAAAAGAATTACACTAGACTACATACATGTTTAAAAAGAAAAATAATAGAAGAACTGGGATTATCTTACTCTTTAAACAAGCCCTTCATCTGCATGACATTTTAAACAGAAATATATCTACTATTTCACAGAAAGGGGCTATCTTTTTCACAAATAAGTTAAACCCAAATTCTTACATTAGGACCTAACGCCTGAGCCTGCTCTACCCATTAGTTCATTCAAGGCCCTGAGTAATCTTTTAGCCTCAGCGACAATGTCATGCTAAGCAGCATTCAAAGATGTGCAGCTTCAGCCTTTGGTGTACTTAGTAGATGAAGCATGTGAGGTACTGTAATATATGAAGGTTTTATAATTAATTCTAGTTGTAATTGAGTTTGAAGAAATTCATGTATGCTTTAAGTAATTCTCCCTGTTTACCAAATATGATGATATGTTATTAGTATTTACATGGTTTTAAAACAACTGCCATTTTTCCAAGAAAGATTGAGCTATAGGGGGTTCTATACAAATTCCTCTTAAGAGTATGTTAGGAACTAAGGAGAGGGGGCTAGAAAGGTAGTCAGAGGAGAAAATCCATTGCTGATTAACATTACTTTTAAAACAGCAGATTGTAGCAGAAAGCTGCAGAAAGCAGGAGGATACCTGAATCTTACTTTCATTGAAAATTTTAGTACTATCACCTAGCTCTGCAAGTCCATTGTACTTCGCCATGAGTGTTAATGATCTTTTGTAGATGCTTGAGGTAGGATAAAGCTCTGCATGTTCATCTGCAGCTTGACAAGAAGCTTCTTCAGCCTTCCTCAGGTTCTTTTGAGCTATGTAGTTATGGCACAAGAAGCTGATAGAAAGTGGCTGATAGAAAGTGCTTTTAAAAATTTAGGAAAAACCTCGACTGAAATTTGATTTCAGCTATTTCAGAAAATCAATGATAAGAAAATTAGGAATATAACACAAAAGAACGCTTTTTTAATTGAAAGATCTAAGAAATAAAGAAAAGATACAAGTGGACCTTCAATTGGAAAGGAAGATACAGCTTTCCCAAATCTCTAGCCATCGGCTAGAGTCCAAACACCCTAAGAACAATCTAAATTCAGCAAACAACACATGCTCCTTACCCTAGGAAAATCACCTACTTAAAGCAATAAATAAACAACAAATATCCAAATAGTCCTCCAATTCTATCTCAAATCTTTTATATTTTCTTAATTATTTCCCTCTCAAATCAGCCCCCAAATCAGTCCTCTTCAATTAGGAAACATTTCTAATTAATCCCCTCCAAAGCAACCCCCAAATCTGTCCTCTTCAATTAGAAAATATTTCCTAATTAATTCTCTTCAAATTAGCCTTAAATCTGCCCTTTTCAATTAGGAAATATTTCTTAATAATCTCTTCCAAATTAACCACTCGCTCCTGTGGCTCCCACTCTTGCCGTGTCAATACTCCCACCCGTAGAAACACATTGTCATCACAGGCCCTACAGTTCCACCAAGTAGCCCAACCCTACTCCTTGTATCGCCTTGACCATGATTTTGAGTGAAACCATGATTTTGGATAGGCTAGGATCCTCTCTAATAAATATTTTTCTTCTTTCAACCTTGAACTCCATCATTAGCGTCTACCAATCAATCTTGGTCTTTTTCAACCTCTGCAACTACTTCATTCCCATGATAACATCAGTGCTCCCTAAATCCAATGGGAGAAAGTCCTCCCTCACCTAGACTTCCTATATGGTTAGTACCACCCCCCTACAAACTCCTCTACTTTCCTTTGTCTTCTCAGTGCCCATCATGGTTTCACTCACCTGGCCTACCTCGAATCTCGGCCCTCCTCTAGGCCCTACAGTTCCACCAAGTAGTCCAGCCCTACTCCTTGTATCGCCTTGACCATGGTTTTGAGTGAAACCGAGGTTTTGGATAGGCTAGGATCCCCTCTAATAAACATTTTTCTTCTTTCAACCTTGAACTCCATCATTAGTGTCTACCAATCAATCTTGGTCTTTTCCAACTTCTGCAACTATTTCATTCCCATGATAACATCAGTGCTCCCTAAATCCAATGGGAGAAAGTCCTCCTTCACCCGGACTTCTTATATGGTTAGAACCACCCCCCTACAAATTTCTCTACTTGCCTTTATCTTCCCAGTGCCCATCATCACTCCATAGCACCCTTTATCCACTAGTTTCACCCACAATTGATTTACAACCTGGTTGGAGATGAAGTTGTGAGTAGCCTCACTATTTATCAACACCACTACCTCAGTCTATTATTTCACCTCTCTCTTTCATGGTGTGATTTAGAGAGAATCTCACCACAAAGTTCAAGGAGGCATTTGCTATGTCTAAATGCAATTTTTTTCCTTCATTAATGCCTCACTCCCACCTCCCTCTTCAGCTTACTCGTCATTGTAGACGGTGAGAATTTGAATAGTTTGGTCCTTACACCTGTGCCGCGATGTATGCCTCTCATCAAATTTGAAACATAAACCTTTTGTCTGACTATCTTGCACCTTCGTTTCTGTAAGGCTTTTGAGGTTGTCTCCAGGGAGAACACCATTTCCCTTCTTCTTCGGTGCTTCCTTCTGAAACGACTTTGTTTGAGTTCTTGGTGCCAGAGTCGTAGAGGTACTTCTGTAAGCCCCTCCCATCATGTTACTCATGTTGGCCTTCTCCCTCCAACATTTTTGCTCCAACCTTTGAACAAGCTTCATTGTCTCTCTCAGCCCTCTAAGTCACAGCACCCTGAGCTTTGCTTGTATGCCCTCCCTAAACCACTTCATGAAATTCCCTTCCAACCATTCCTCAGAAATTCCTCTCACTCTTCTCGATAGTAGCTCAAACTTTTTCCGATACTCCAGGACTATCCTCTCTTGAGTTAGGGCATAGAATTGTTCGTGGAGGTCTCCTTCCTAAATGGCTTGGAAATGCTCCAGCAAATACTCCTTAAATTCCCCTAATGAATATATCGGATATCAAGCCTCCCTCAACTGAAACCACTCTAGGCTTTTTTCCTCCAAACAAAGCCCAACCGCCATGAGTTTTTCCCCTTTCGTCAGGCCGATGATCGCAAAGTAACGCTCCACCGATACACCCAACGCCGAGCATCTTCCCCTTCAAACAGTGGCATCTTCAACTTTCTCGATCTCGCATCCATACCCCAATGGTTTATCCCCCCTTTAAATTGTAGCATCTTCCTCCTATGTAATGATGGTGTGAATCTCTCTCCCTTACTCCCTTAGTTGATTTGGACCACATGGCTCTGCTCAACCATGACATCCTCCATCCCACCTCTCCCCATGCCCAGGTAGTCTCCCAAAGGGTTCAACCTCCCCCCTCCTTATTGTCCTTCATTTGGAATTACCCTATCAGCTCACCCACAGGCCCCTCGGGGGTAGTCCTTGATGGAAAACACTCTTCACTTCATCATCCTCCTTTGGAATCTCTTTCCCCTTTGATTTTGCCTTCGAAATTGTCGGTGAGACTTTTGAATACATTTCGATCAACTTCTTCGTCATGTCTTCCATATTTTTGAAGTGGTTTTCTATGAATGAGAGCCTCCCTTACATGTCGGAATGTCTTTACTCCATTCCAACCTTGAGATTTTTCATCTCGTCTTCCAACATCTTCATCTTCTTTACTACCATTCACGGATTTAGGTTCTAAACTGTGAAAAACAACAAAAATTGATGAATTTAGTCTTCAAACGACGAAAATTAGCATTGTGGGAAGAAAATGTAGCAAAAATCAGTGACATGGACTTAAATTTTAGCCCAAGACATCGCTCTAATACCAATTTGATAGGAAGGGCTTGCAGTAATTTAGGAAAAGCCTTACTTGAAAATGATTTCAACAATTTATGAAAACCAACAACAAGAAAATGATGAATAGAATACAGAAGAACACTTTTTATTGAAAGTTTTATGAAACAAAGACAATATATAAGTAGATCTTCAATTGGATAGGATGACCCGGCTCTCCCAATCTCTAGCCACCGGTTAGAGCCCAAACACCCTAAGAACAATCTAAATTCAACAAACAACACATACCCTTTATCTTAGAAAAATCACTTACGTAAAGCGAATAATAAACAACAAATACTCAAACAGTCCTCCCCCAATTCTGTCCCAAATCAGTTCTCAAATCAGCCCCCAAATATGCAATCTTCAATTAGAAAATATTTCTTAATTAATGTCACGACCCAACCCGAACGGGACGGATCCCGCTCGCTTCGGGTCGTGATCCAAGCTCAAACTGACTGAACTGATTCTAGGATCTGGTTTCAGAATTTATTTCAGAACTTTCTTCCAAACATTTAGACAGAAACAGACGCACAAAGCTTACTATAAACATCAAATGCAGCGGAACAGATCATTTAATTTTTTCTTCCTCAAAAGAATCATATACAAATACAGCTCATGCTTTCAGACAGAAAGAAAAACAGAACAGAAAAGCCATGACTGTACAAAAATCAAAAGTACAAAATACATATAACAGATCAGATTCTGAACTCCTACTCCAGGACTTCCTTCCCTTTCCCAGAACCTAAAAACCACGCAGAAAACAAGGATGAGCTACAACAGCTCAGCAAGACATCAAACCTCCAATCAGAATCCTCAGAATCCACATCAGACAAAAATCATATCAACAGAATCGTATATCGAATCAGAATCAGAACAGAAATCACAGAAATCATAATCAGAATAGAATCATACAGATCAGATCAAATCAGAACAGAACAAAATCGTACATATCAGATCAAATCATATCAGAACATATCAATTCAGAACATATCAAATCAGAACGTATCAAAAGTCAGAACAGATCAAATCAGAACAGATTCCCTGACCCTAACAGAATCTCAACGGATTCTGGCCCCTTATGCCTCCCTTCCCAGACATTGACAGAATCTCTCGGATTCTGGCCCCTTATGCCTCCTTTTGTGCTCATGGCAAGAATCACTCGGATTCTAGCCCATTATGCCTCCCTTTGTGCTCATGGCACCAGAACAGATGTGCTTATAGCACCAGAACAGAACTTAGCATTGGATCCGAAACTTGTATTCAGAAACAGATTTCAGAGCTCATTTCAGATTTTCCCTGACACAGACAGGATCTCATAGGATCCTGACCCCTTATAACTCCCTTTTCATAGCACACAATCATATCATGTCATTTCAGAACAAATCCGTATATGTCATAACTGCGATATTAAAAAATTATTTTAAGAAGCAATAAAAAAATCGTCCCAAATGAAGCCTTAGTAGGAATATAATAAAGGATTGATGATTCCAAGAATTATTATTCATGGAGATCTCATAAATACCATTTACACAGTTAAAAATAGGAATAAGGACCAAATTAGTTTGAAGTTAATGGTGATATGTAATTTTTGTAGAGCATAATCTATGATATGAATATATTTATAAATATAAATAAAGTATAATACATTAGAAGCTATTTAAAATTGAGTCAATTAAATTCGTGATCTATTTAAGAATTAAATTCTTATTCGGCTTATATGGTATTTTATTTAAATTTGTATGAAATGAATTATTTGTGTAGATGCCAAGTATTTATTTTATTTTAATGATGGTCTGAAATAAAATAAATACAATTAAAGTATAAAAATATCGTGGTCTTCTTTTTAAGTGTCTAAGTTGTCAATTCCTTTATTTTCAATCTAGACTGAAAATAAGGGGGTATCTCGCTCACTTGGAGAACGCCGTTTCAAACGTGGAAGATCGAAAACCTCAATTCTGCATTTCAATGGATTCATGTACGCTTCCAATTCTTTTCTCTATGATTCGACATATCTTTCAGAAGCGATTAAATTATTTTTCTGTCTTCTTTAAATCCTACAAATAAGTGAAGCCTTCAGATTTTTTATGTATCTTGGGGATGGAATAAGCTTAGCCATATTTGATTGGACCTATGATCAATAATAAGCTTGTTGGATTTGGCCCTAATTTGAACCCGAAGATGATAAAATTCCATGAGGGAAACCATTAGAACTCAAATTTTAAGAGAATTTTTTCCCCAACTATTTAGAACAATTATAGCTTGTGTTTGATTTACAAATAATTCTCTTGTTGATCACACCATAGATGTAAGTCACTCAATTGCATCACTATAAAACCTCTGATATTTTATTCTTTCATAGGTTGTTACTCTCTTTAATGGTGTACTTCCATTTCCCTCTACAAAAAGTTGAATAAGAGAGACCACAATAAAATAAATCAGAGAAGATATTTGGAAGAGAAAAATTTTGAGTTGTAACATATAATTTAGCTCATTTGAATGGTTTTTTATTAAAAATCTTTAGTTTAATATTACATATAATTTAATAAAATAATAATAAATTTATATTTGTTTTATTTTTTACTCACCACGTGAGATTAGCCTTTATCAATTTTAAAATAAGCTCCCGTATAGATATTATTATTATTATCCACACAGGGCCACATTAATAAATTACAAAGTAAAAGACAAGAAGCAATGTAAACTGATAAATGGATGGGAAGCATAAAAACTTTGTGGACTCAAACCAGCATCGGGTTGCCAAGGTGGGGCCATCCATGTGAGATAACAAAATCGAAATCGAGAAGTAGCCAAATCAACAAAACAAGCCACCCAGGTTACCAACCAACCTTGGCCATCAACGACGCTTACAGCAGAGCTGCTTCCTCATCATCAATGCCGAAACTAAATGAATCGAACTTGGCAACCAAAGCAATGAAATTGCTCTCATCCTCCCATCCACAGCAACCAAAAGCAATCAGACTAGGCAAAGAGAAAATCATCTCTTTTTGGATTTACGTTTATGTTGCGAAATGAACTTATCAAGCGAGACCGTTTCGAAATTGCTATCATCCTCCATGTCATCCTTCAACCAATCACATTGCCATCTAACCGAATTGGTAATAAAATTAGCATTTGAGATAACCGAAATAGGAACCTCAACTATATCCATCTCATCACCTGCCTCCCCACCAAAAACCACAGCTTGTTCACCAAACTTGCCAACAGTCAGAACCCCATCCTCCACCTGACTAGGACTATCATTAAAATTCACACAACAGTTGATACCTGATACAACCACAATGGGAGGCACCAAATTAGGGGAAACAACCCCATCCACACCACCATAAACCACCAATTCATCATCCACACAATCAGTAGGGACATTTACAATTGGAGCAGGAACCTAGGAAGATCCAGGGGAAATCAAACAATCCAGGACAACACCCGATTTAGTGACCACAAGAAGATATATTATTATTATCATCATTAACAAAATTAGGGGTGTTTACGAGACAAGTTGAGCTCGAGCCACTATTGACTTGTATTTAAGCTTGATTAATTAATCAATTTTGAGCTTTATTCTACGAGTTTGAGCAGGCTCATAAGCCGGCTCGTTTATTATGATCTCAGATTTTCGACTAGTCCAGCCCTAACTCTTCGATATATCTCTTGCTAGAAGTACCCCTGATCCATCTGATAACGAGTGGGGCCAAATAGTTTGATTGGGGTAGTTGTTGAACCGGATCACATAGTTCCTGCAATAATAAAAGCAAAAAAAAAAATGCAGTAATACTACTAGAAAGCACAGTTTTAAAATTACCCATGTATAGTCCTTTGTATAGATGTTGAGGTGGACATACACTACAATGAAAATAGACCAGCTAATATGCCCAATATACCTGTTGCAATATGATGAGAAGCTATTCCCCCCGAAACAAAAGGATCAAAAGCTTCCGCACCTCATGATGAATTTATAGATTGTACTTTTCGAGTAAGTCCATAAGGATTAGACACCCATATTCCATGATTATATATATAAGATCAACTCTATTACATAAGTTGATTTCTCACTTTTCATATCATGACATAAATAAGCACTTCTGAATTGTATTTATCAAATAATAACTTACTAATGGATCTTTATGGTACTTTCTCTATCATTTTGACTTTTTATCCATATAGTATAATATATAGGCCATACCTATTTCTTTCAATTTTTTTGGTTCTCACAAAGCCTTTTTCCTTACTGCAGCTAATAAAAATCGTTAGTTTGGAATGATTATTATTTAAGTAATTATTATAATAAAAGAAAAAAATAATAAGAAATTATAAGAAAAATAATAAAGAATAACTTAATTAAAGAAAATTATATTTAATTTTTAAATAATTTTTACAACGTTGCGCTTAAAATTCTGAATCCTCATATATTTTAAGTATATTTTATATTAATGTATTTTAAACAAGCCGATTCGTGAGATAATGAGTTAAGTAGGAACTTGCTTAAACTTGATTAGTTAGTTCAATGAGCTCAGATCACGAGTCATTCATCAAACAAAACTTGAATCGGCTCAGACTTACTTGCACCCCTAATCACAATAATAAATAATCAATCATGTCTCCCTTGGGTGATAATAAATCATAAAATTTTGAAAGCCTTAAAAAAAAATTCTTTTTATTCTCGAAGTAGCTACGGATTGGCTCACTAGACTCAAACATCCGGCTAAGAACCGGTAAACGGTAACAGTATCCTCAGCAAAACTCAGGGTAGAACTTTCCCATTTCCCTCTTGAAAATAACATCCATATTATTGCTCCATAGTAGGCGGTAATTGTTACCTCCTTGGCCTGTTCGTTTCCCTTCCATCACGCATGGTCTATAAATAGGCTTGCTGCTTTTGAATTTACAGATGAGAAAGGATAGCGAGGAAAAGAGCTCGGCGAGTTCTCCAGGAGTCCAGGTCTTCTTATTTCCCTTTTTTTTTTAATCTTGCGGTTTATTTGATAATTTCACAGTCTGAATTCACCTTTGATTGATCGGAGCGTGCTTTCTGATTATTCAGGGATCTGCGGTTTTCTGGAGAGAAGGAAAAATCGGATTGAGATCACTTACTGGTTGACATCTAGAGGTAAAATGCTTTGATTAACTTCAACTCTTCAGAACTGATCAATGTGGTCGCTGAATGCTCTGTAGTTTGGTCTGCCTGGCACTGATCTTATTTATTATATCCATTCTCAGTGATTTGAATTCTTCAAGATATTTTTAGCGATGGAGGTATTGCGCAAGCGCAAGAAGACGACGGTGAGGATCCAGATCAAGAGCCAGCTACCAAAGATCTCATAATCTTCGTTGTTTTTCTTTTTATTATTGTTATTTAAACTTGATCAAAACCTCATTGATAGGAAGGAAGCACTGAGGGAACTGACGCAGGAGTCGAAGCTGGCGTGGAAGAAGAAATGATGGCCACGGCTGGTTCGGATGAGATGATCCAGGTGTCGGAAGAGATGGAGTCAGACATTCAGCGCATCCTGGAGAAGATCGATCGCTTCACTCAGCAGGTAAGCTTTTTTTTTTTTTAATCTAATTAACTGCAAATTTCTTCGAGTTTCGAAATATTCATCTGCGTTAATTACCCTGTTTTTAAGCTAGGTTTCGGAGATGCTTGAGACAGGGAAGCAACTATTCAAGGATCTCAGTTCTGAGTTTGAAGAGCGTATGATCTTGTAAGTAGTTATTCGTAATATGTTCAACAAGTATAACCATTATTGGGCCTTTCTGACGTGTTCGGTAATCTATATACGCCAAGGATTCATCGGGAGCAAATGGAGAAATGGCAGGATGATATAAAATTGCTACGCATGATCGACTCTACAAACGAAGCTTCTAGGGCTCTCCTGCAGAACGCTCAGCTTCATTTGCTGGAGAACGTCCGTGAGAACTGACAACCCTTTTTTTTCGGCATTTATAAGTAGCAAGAGACAATTAAAACACAAAAATTGTTTAGCCTTTCAGCTCAAAAGCTTCCAAAATCTAGCAGATTGATGTTGTTAAATTTGTGTTGCACTGTGGAATGTTTTGAATTGATTCAACTCATCCTTGTGGATTCCTTTTACTCCATTAAAAGATTTAATTTGATTCATTTTTTTAAAATTTTAGGAGGGAAATTGTTTAATGAGGAATTTCAATTTTAATGGAGGTGAGATTAAAATTTAGGGCATTTCTTGCTGCCCTTTCTTGCAATAAATCTCATATTAGATTTATTTATTTTTATGAAGAAATCAATAATTAATTAATTTAGAATATAGTTTTCTTGGATAGCCATTTAAATGTGGGATAATTTTAAGAAGGAGAAGTACATTATTCTAAATTACCAAAAGGAGCATATTTTGAGAGAAATTTAAGGAGCATATTTGTCCAACGGTTCAAACGATTTGGCACATTCTAACTATGTCAAAATGTTTTGAGCATTCAACACAATCCTTGACGCATTTTCAATTAACTCGATAGTGCTCGACGAGTTGAGAGTTTATATATATATATATATATATATATTCATTTTCATTAAATAATTTATAAATTAATTTAATTAAACTTATGAAGAGTATGTATCTTCTACTAACATGAACTTTGCATGAGAATAAAAGGTGTAAATGTGGCCTGTTGCATGTAAAAATGATAAAGGAAGAATGAAGAGAAATATATTTAATTTAATATATAAATATTTTGCGATAATTCACTCACTAATTTATTAAATAAATTTTAATAATTTTAAATTTATTTAGATCTAATTATTTTACATTATCAGTTAAATTCCATCTCAATTTTTACAGCAATAAATAAATAAATAAATTCTAATTAAAATAATTTTTACAAAAGTAATTCATTCAACACTCAAAATAACATACTTTCTATCATTAACAAAATTATCACCAATGTTATTAAAAAAATCTTAGAAACCAATTAAAATAAAAAACTCTGCAAACCTTCTGAAGTTGTTGGGGAAGATGCGGAGTAAACACTATAATGATGAAACAAGCAAGAAAGTAAAAGCAATGGAAAAGTAAAGAATGCTAGGATTTAACATGGAAAAATCCAAAATAGCAAAAAATCATGGAGTCACACCACACCAAGAAATCCATTATGAAAATTGGGAGAAATAAATACACATCTATCTTCTCTCTCACTCTATTCTTGTTTCTTTTCTCACATGAACCTTTATCACACTTTCTCTAACTGAAAATACAAAAGAAAGCCAAGTAAAATAACTCCAAGGGATGCAACCCTTCAGAAAAATGAGAAAGAAAACCATTTCGATGCCAGTTTTAAGCGTTGCAGCGCTAAAACCTTTGTCTTGATCCGAGCCAGCGTTGTATCTATGTTGTTGTGGTGCTCTGGTCTATGTTGTTTAGCGCTAGGGTGCACAGGTACGTAGCGCCAAGGTGCTCAAGTGCACATTGTCGGGGCGTACAGTTACGTAATGCCGGGGCTCTCGGGTGCACATTGTCAGGTATTTGTATTGAAAAATTTTTTGAGTATAAGGCACCTGAACCCAAACAGGGGGTACACCCCTCGTACCCCCAGCATACACACGACAAGCTTTGTGATCCAATTTAACATAACAACCCAATTAATCAACACATTTAGATTCCACACATAATAGTTTTTACTACACTTCTTAGACCTATAGCTCTCAAAACTGATTTGCCTATGCTATGTCATTCTAACATCCTAAACTATCTATTTATAGGCATCGACTTTTTTATTGTTTCTTAAAATAACTTTTTTTACAAAATTAATTTTTTTTATTAAAAAAATTGTTTTAGAAAACAGTAAAAAAGCTGCCTCAAACGAAACCTTAATTTCATTATTTATAGTGGCTGACCACTGATCGATCACTAGCTAAAGATGCTAAAACATCACGCCAGATCTCATTTTTTACTCTTATTTTTCTCCTTAATCATCTTCAAAAAGACACTTGTACGAGCACAAAACAGAACAAACTCATTTTCAAATATAGGCAGAACATTCAGTTCATCTACTATTAAAACCTTCAGGTTTATATCATTTCAGCAACTGTTTTTCAATCTAGCTTGCTTTCAATTACTAATGAAATCAAGTAGAGAACTTCTAATTACTAAGGGCATCTCCAACCGACCTCCAAACGCTTGAATGGAGCTCCCGGCCAGCTCCAGCCGAACTGCAAAATTTCCGCTATATGGCTGCGGGTGAACAGTGGGACGCCAATATTGGCGTTGCACTGTTCATCTCCGCCAATTTTACCACTCTACCGAACTTGTCGCGGGGAAAACAAGAGGCGACGGTTAACTGCAAAAGGGTGAAAAACGCGTTCCATTGGAGATGAAATCACGGCATTTTGTAGTTTCCGGCATTTTGGAGTGAAAAATGAGATTTTCGGTTGGAGATGATCTAATAGAATCAAGCAGATCACTAAATTGGATTCCTAAGCTGTCAAAGGTAATTGCAATCATCATCGCTTAAATCAAGAAATTTCATGTTGAATTTGGCAACAATCAAATACATCCAATAATCTTTCAACATCATAAATTAAAATTAGTAATATCATTCATAGTAGATCATGGATGATGGATGCATAACTTCAGTAAGAAAAATATTAATATTGTTTATATTTATAAAATATTATAAAATTGTAATTACTTCATTATTTTGATTTATGCCATTAACTTGTTTTGAATAAATTAAACTCTATTTTTTTTTTCAAATTCATTTAATTAATAATCTATAAAAAAAATCATTTAAAAAAATTATCTTAAATTTACTCTATTCATTTAATAGTTTTATAACAGCCTTTCAAATCTATCCTAAATTTCATTTAAAATATTTTCTTGTCACTTTTTATTAATATTTCTATAAAAAAAAATTACAAAAAAAACTTTAAAAAATGGTCACAAACGAGCAGATATAAAAATCAGTTCATGTAAAACGACAGCTTATCACTCCCACGAATGCAACGGAGGCCAACGATGGCCTTCGCTCTCCACTCTCCTCCTTCAAGGCCTCCACTCACTCTTCCATTCAAAAGCCAAAAGCCCATTTCTCCTCTCCTTAATTGCTCAATCGCCCATCTTTCTCTCGCCGGAGTCCCAACAACCGGTCATGGATCCCGGCCCCTGGTTTTGACGGCAGTATCACCAGCATCCGAGGTAGCGGACGTCGAAGAAAAACCAGAAAATTTTCCTCCCACTTCATCATATAAAGATCCGGAAGGTATTTCAAACCAGGACCTGGAGAATAATGTGCTCCTGCTGAAGCAGGCCGCAAAAACACGGATGGTTCCAGCTGCGGATGTTCTCTCTGCCATCTCCGCCATTAAGAAGGCTAAGGTGGACTCATCATCGTTCTTGGAGACGCTTGGGGGATCAAAGTCTCCTGGGAGGACCTGGATGCTTATCTTTACTGCTCAGGTGAGGTTATAGCTTGATAATGTCTGTTGCTTTTTATCGCTCACAAAGTGTTTGTTTGTATTCCTCACTGATATGAGATGTTTTGTGTTGTTGTCTTTAGAGTCGGCTGGATAAGGGGAGTTACTTCCCCGTCACTGCGGTGCAGCGATTTGACGCAACGGTAAGCATTTCATACTTAATATGATGTGTTATTCAATCCGAACTCCATTTAGTTGATCGTCTAATTTCATGAAAGATTTAACTGCAGTGTTTTCGGTTAAGTTATGTTATGTTGCTTAGGTTTCTTAATCTTCTTTGATGCTTATTATGGAAAAAATTGTTTCATAACCTTCTAAGGCGCAAATACGTTAGAATGAGTTTAATTTTGTGGATCGTGTTTCATGAATAAAAACAATTGAAAGACATTTTATAAGAAACTGGAAGGCAAATTTGAATTTGTGGAAGGCATTTTTGAACTTAAGAAAATTAAAAGATAGAATTTATTTTGTAACATTATCTTCGAATTTGTTACTTTTTTTTTCAATTTTTTATTTATATGATACATGTCATAAAATTAAACCATCCTGAAGCATTTTCAAGTCAGATGGTCTTAATACAATTTTGTTTTCTCTTTTGGTCATATTAATTTGTTGAGCATCAGAAAAAAAACTTTCTTTGTATTTATGAAAATCAGTTTATTAAAAATTGTTTAATTTTTTAAATATATGAAAATAAACAAGCCTTATATGAACTAGTTTTGAGTTATTCATCAATGTGCTAGTTTTCTTATAGATCTAGGTATACCAAAATTGTTTCTATTTTGTTCTTCCTTTAATTTTCTATTTCATAATTCAATATTCTGGTTCACCCATTCTCAACAAAGGGGTTCAAACTAGTTTTATGTAAGAATTGAGTCTAGAGATAAAGGAATTTGATTCTTCTTTTTACTTGCCTCATAATCTCAAATAGGTTTTACCGTGTTTTTTGCAGAACATATATGATCCAATATCCTCAAGGGTGTAGTGACCCGAAATCATGGTTTGAACCAAGAAGCAAATTGTAAAATATAATGCTAAATGGAGTTATACACCCAGAGTTAAAAATATATAATTACACCGTATTCAATAAACTTTAGAGGTTGGAAGACTGCTTCACTACAATGATCCAAAATACTATTAAGCACTTCGCTCAAATTGCTCCTTATCGTTATCCTCTTTTTGGCCAACTATCAATGATGTCATAAGATGTCGCCCGAATGTAACAGCATGACTTGATCATTTTGACTCTACTATGGATGACTTATCTTTCATTCCATAGGAAAGCATTTGTAGCAACATCCCTTAATCTCTGCAAGTCATCTCAGGATGACTCTTACATTTTGTAAGAAAGCATTACAAAGACTTTGTCCAAGAGACCAACGAAGTGGGTTTCTCAGTCGACTAATGCTTTTTCCACTCCAGGTCACTAAGGAGCAGCCTCCACTTAAATTCAAAATGAATATCCTTGATTCTTTCAAAGGAAGATAAGATTTAGTTGATTTTATGACTTTTTTTTAGACCACCATCTCCCTTCTAGTCAAAACCGACATGTGATCTGTCATCTCTTTACATCACCTTCAAAGAAGATTGGTTGAAATGATTCTTATAAATTTTTCTAGGAAGAATTATCTCATACTCATCGATAAAGAACTAATTTGTTACTCAATGTTTTATTGTGCAAAAGCCACCAAAAGTTTTCTAGCCTTTTTTAATATAACGTAAGGGCTTTTAGAGACTCTTTGATAGTTCATCGCCCTTTTCATATTGAAATGCTAGCTGTGCAAGATTTGAAGTCAATAATTGTTTATGCTTTACTCACACAATACCTCCTAAAGTGGCCATTTGGTTGAATTTTTAATTTTATTGATAAAAATTTGTAGAAAATATATTTGTCTCTAGTATCCATTTATAAATTTCTCATCCATTACTAGTGATTGGCATAATATTGACCCATTGTAGTCCTATCATACATAAAATCACAATAATGATGTATTATGTAAATCTCATAGAATCCATATTCCAAAATCCACTTGTGAAAGCTAAAGGAAATGCGTGCATGCATAAACTTATTTAATACTGCAAGTCGCAAAGCCACATGAAATCTAATTTTATTCATAAGAATAAAGCGTGTGATCAAGCTTATGGTCGTCAATCAACTCAATGGAAAGTATGAGACTCATGTCCTGAATATGTAAAAGCATTTGTTTAAATTGAGATAGTGGTCAACAAACTGGAGTGTCTTAGAATTTTATACATTCCTTGGGAATAGAACTATTTTGCTGATTTTTTATCAAATTTTGGTGATCAAAGTAATCAGTTGATTATAAAATTATTTTACCCAATATTGAAGAACCTTAATTTATGCAAGTGGAAGTTTGACCAATTTAGATTTACCTATTCATTGGATACCTTTACAACTTTGTGAGTTCTAGATCAATTTCATAATTCAAAAAGATCAAGATGGAAGCCCCCAAATACTTGTTTGTGGACGAACTATTTCTTAGGAAGTTGGCATGAACACCTTATTTGAGATGTTTTTGAGAATAAGAAGCCACTAATATCCTTAAAGAAGTGCAGTCAGAAGAAAGAAGCCTTGTAGAATGGGTAATATATCAAGGCTACTTTCAGACATCTCATGAAAAAGTATAGAAGAGTTCTTAAGAAAGATATATAGTGTTTGAAATTTGCTCCTTCGCAATCATCTTATAAAATTTAGCAAATAATTAGCACATGGGCAGTTGTTGTTTGATGCATGGATCTTCTCGATCCATTCTTATTATTATTAAGCAGATAGAGGCTTCTCTTTCTTATGATGATTGACAATTTCATTAAGGGTCGTTTGATATCAAATAATTATAGTACATGCATTTTGAATGATATACATTTTATTTGATTGATTGTAAAATATATTTAGAAAAATATTTTTTTATTTGGCTCAAAATAAAATGAATATTTATTTTATATTAATACACTCTTATAAATTCATATTTATATTAATATATTATTTTATTTAAATCTTGGACACAGTGATGGACACAACATTGAAAGGGTTGATGAGGTCACAAAGTCAGTAGTATGCTAGGGTTGTAAAGTCGACAAGGTCACAAGGTTGGATGGGTTGCAAGTGTAGTTATGATGTGAAACAAATAGGACTTGCAAGGGATTAATAAAATTATTGGAAAGCTTGCCACTTAAGATTAATGAACTTCAAGAATTAAATTTAAGAATTCTCAATTGACGTTTTGCTTTGGCAAGCAGTAACAAGGAGAACAAAACAACTAAAATAATATCAGAAAAATATACTAAAACTAAATATGCCGTAATAAGAATCCACGGGTTAATATTTAGAACTTTCACCTAGAGTTTTCTCTCACTCACACTCTATGAAAGGCTTTTAGCGGAGAGAAACTTTTATCAATCCAAATGACACCACCAAGAGGGTTAGGACGCTGACGGTTTTGATCCACGGGAAGGTGGCCGGAGAAGGAGACGCAGGTGGATGTTCGACGAGTTGCCACTGTCCGGAGGGTCTTTGTTCGTCAATAGTCTTGGCTAGGTGGAATAGTATGCGGTCGACATAATCGTCGACGGAATCTTTTAGCTCCCAATCGGGGTCGAAGAACGGCGACTGAAGAATATCGATTTGCCCTTAAGAATCGTACATGAAACCGTTGTCGACTTCAGGATCGGCCATCCATGAATATGGGAGACTTCTTTCTTGGGATCCTTGGAGGAGCCGACGACTTGTGATGGAAGGAGGGAGGGCAGGAACTGACGGCTTGGGGGTTTCGAGTAAAGAGTGAAAGGGAGGGGGACGGCTAGGGTGTGGGTGGGAATCCTGGGTTTAGGGCTAGGGAGGTAGAATAAATAAACTTAGAAAATTTGATTTTAATTTCAGATTTTCTAAAGGGAGGGAAAGGGACTAATTTGAATTCCAAATTATCTCAAATATGGTTATAGGGGGGCCGACGGCTTAGGGGTATTTATGGGGAGTTTTAAGTGGGATTGGAGATTAAATTGGAGAGAGAACAAGGCGGGGGGGGGGGAGCCATATGACAGATGGAGAGATGATGTCTAGGTTCAATGTATCGGGCCCTTGACTTTAGTTAGTAATTAAAATTAAATATAACATTTAATTTCAGATTTGATTTAATTAACGAGGTTTCCTAAATTAGAATTATCAATAAGGAAAGAGATTTAAATTCAAATATTTATTTGAATTAAAATAGGAAACTTTCATAATCAATAATAGGCTAATTTAGGAAGGTGATTAAGGGGAAATTGAATTTGAAAATCAAATTTGTGGGGATTATTTGGTCGGCGGCTTGGGGCCTCTTTGGATGTCGGCAGCTTAGGTGGTGGGGCGGTGACAAGGGGAGGGAGGTCTCAGTTTTGAAGGGGAAACGGGGGAGGATTGAAGCCGGCGGGCGAGGGTGCTGGAGGGGAGAAAGCTGGTGGGTTTGGGGTGGTTTAGGAGGGGTGGTCGGAGGTGGAAGTAAGGGAGGATGGGGATAGAGATAAGCCGCGAGCCTTGGACACTTTCGAAGACTAACATGTATTGCAATCACCCTCGGCTAGGGCTCTCTTTCTTCTCTCAAAGCTCACAACATTGAAAAAGACAAAAGCTAGAAATTTTATTCATCAAATCATCGTTCAAATACAAGAGAAGGGGGTCTTATATATAGGCCTCAACATGACAAAAGAAAAAGAACTAAAGTGCCCTTAGGGCTACAATAACAAGCTAACTACCCATAGGGGTAAAATAGGGAAAACTAAAATATAAAAATAAACAATACATAAAATGCATAAAAAATAAAGGCTCTTGATCGTGGCCATCGATCTCCGATGCCTCCTTTGATAAACGTGTCAAATCTTCTGCTGATGTCCTCATCAAGTTCAATGAGATTGTGAGGTCAAGGGAGTAGGAAGTGGGATGGTGAGGTCGTGAGGACGGCTTTGACATTGCCATGGTTGTGAACAAATGATAAATTTTGAATTCTTCCCATTCGGGGTAATTCTAAATCCATAAAAAATGAGTCGTTGGAGGAATTCTAAATTCCTTAAATGAAATTCTTTTGATTTATTCAACTTCATACCAAACACTTCAAAATTCAAAATCCATATATTCTAAATCCAGTACTCTTAATACCTCAAAACAAATAACTCCTAAATGAATTGAGGTAAAGGCCTTAGACAAACCATGGTTATGAGATTTAATTCTGACATACAATACTTGTTGGAATAAGGACTCACAATTTGCTAATAAAATGGTGAAAAAACTATATCAGTCACAAATTTTGCATTAATTCACCATCCAAGAATAAATTGACAGGTAGAAGCAGCTAATCAGCTTATGCTCAATCCCCCAAGGATGAAGGTCAAGGCCACTTGATGTACATGGTGGCCATGCATTTATATGTATCTTTAGCATGATGTAAAATGCAATAGAGATCAAACCAAAACATTAAGGAAAATGAGATAAATGACAAATAATAAACATGATAATGACTTTTGATATATTATTATTCTTAAGAATAACAATTTTACATTATAAATTTAATTTCTAGGCATACTCACCAAAGTGGCCTAATAGGAGGAATTCACCAAACTTCATCTTTATGTTGCATACAAATAACCTAATTCATGATTCAAGCTAACATCATTTTTTTACTATATCAAAATTTAATGGAGATGAATGATTTAATTGCATAATTGATTACTACTTTGCTTAATTGAAAAGATTCTTGATTGTAAAGCTTCTAAACTTTATTACTTGCATTGGAGCCTTAATGGAATATGGTGAGATAGGGGAGGATATCCCACCACTGAAATTTAATTTCAGATTTCCATTCTCTCCCCAAATTGATTTGGGATTTAATTAATCTTGCCACCTAGGAAAGTAAATGGCGTTTCCGTTTCACATCATTAAGCTAATAAGAAAGGATAGTGGTTCCATTTCCTTACTTTCATAATGATCAATTTCTTTCCCTCAATTGAAGATGATATTATATTCTTTTCATAAAAGAAACAATATATATTTCTTCATTTAATGAAAGTTAAGTGATGATCATGATGATAATCAACTTCTTCAATGACGATGATGATGCTAATTAGTAATTAACATAACAATTTTCAAGATGTAAAACTATCCTAGAATTGATGCTTATTATATGTTTTTTCATAAATGGATTATGTTTGTATTTTTTTTATAATAGAAATTGGATGATCAACTCCTTACATGAGGATGACCTAACTTGTGAAATACCTCAAAAATCTTTCCGTGTACAAAAAAATTAGATCCATGCAAAAATTCAGATTTGCATTTACAAAAAGAAACACCAAAGTCGTTTGTTGCTAATTACCATTAGATATTGTAAACAATAAAAAATTATAATTTCTGATATATAATTGATGCATAGTCATGAATACTAATGTTAGACCGGTCCAGCCAGTCCCATAGGGATCGGTTCACACAGACACAGGCGGAGAAATCCCCTCTCCCATATGTCGTCTACTCCGCAGAAGCCGACAAAACTTTTTGGGAAAGAATTTTGAGGGATTTGGAGGGAAATTTTAATGTAGGGACTGTTAGAAATTTACTTTTGAATTGTATGCATTAAATACCTTGTTTTCCTAAGGTTAGGGCATCTTGAGTTGGGCTGAAATTTGAGATATCTTAGATTTAGATTTTCTTTTGGGCTCTAGCGGCTTCTAGAGATTTGGGAGAGAGATCCTCCTCTCGAATAAAGGATCACTTGTATCTTGTTGTTTTCTTCCGATCTATTTGATTATTGCAATAAAATTTTTGTTTTTCTGATTTTCTTTTGAAGTTTGGAAGAGTTTCTCACTGATTTTCTGAAATTGATAGGATTTACTTGAAATCTTCAAATGTTTCCTATCAACTAACCATACATATAATGTTTTTTCAGGCCAAAAGAATTGAGAATGGAATCTATCTAGGGCCAATTGGGTCCCTAACATTTGAAGGGAAGTTCTCCTGGAAGAAGAAAATGTTGGCTTTCATGTTTGAGTACTTGCGAATAAAGGTAGGATCACTTGGTCCCTTTGAAATAAGCCTGGGAAAGCAGGAGCGAGAGCCAACTTCAAAGGACCCTTTCTTCATCTGGTTTTACATTGATAATGAGATTGCTGTTGCTCAGGGCAGAGGTGGAGGTTTTGCATTTTGGTGTCGATGCAGGCATGTTGCAAACTCCTAGTTTACCACAGGTATTATTCTGCATGGCTTACTATTTAATTCATAGAGCTCAAATGTTATTATTGCCTCATAGAACTTACACTAATGTTACTATAGAATGGTATTTCTACTTGTAGTTTATAAGACTATAGTGTATACTATTGTTGTATTATAGTGTATTGATAGTACTATAGAATGAATACCTTTAAGAGATACTTTTAACAAGGGAAACTTGTTTGTGTTCTAGTTTGATTGGGTGAACAACAAGAGGTAGATTATGATTAAGGTTTCGTTTGTGACGGGTTTCTTACTGCTTTGTAAAGCAGCTTTTTAGTACAAAAATTTTATTTTTGTGTTAGAAAACTGTTTTAAGTAGTAAGAAAGTCGTCACAAATGAAGCCTAAGAGATGATTTACATAATCATATTAATCAAGCAAACGATTGTTTTTTAGATGAGAAATCTTCTATGATGATGATTTATAAATCACCAAAAATTGAGAGAAATGAATGGGCTCAAAATGGTAATGAGTATAGGTAAATAATCCGGAAAAGATAGTAACATAAAATATTTTGAAAGTGTTTTGACTTTATATGTGATCTAAATAGTAAATTTGTATTTTAAAAGTTATTTGAGGTGATATGCTCTATGTTATTTGTGCCCTTGAAGTCATATGATATTTCGATTTAGGTTTTGTTTGGGATAGCTTTATTGCTGCTTTCTAAAGTAATTTTTAAGAAAAAATTTTTCAATTCAAAAAAAATTTGTATGACTTTCTTGAGGCTAGATCTACTTAGCCAGTCAGGTATCCGTCGAACTACATGCAAATACAAATGCACATAAATATGCAAGGAAGAAGATTGAAACAATCAATCATCTAACTTAAAGATTCAAGTGCTTGGATATAGTTCAAAAGAGCAAGGCCAAAATTTTGAAATAGTGCTTTTTCTTTCTTTCTAATTTTAAATTTTCAGAGGGGAAATATTTTAACCAATAATTTCAAAATGTTCAAGAATTTGAAATTATGTAATAAGTTTTTAGAATTAATAAATTTTTACATCATTTTGGAGGGAATTATCCTGAAATTTGAAGAAATTATTAACCTTTCTACATAATTTTCTTCATTTCTTATTATGTTTGGCTTTTGAAACCCAAAATCAAGAAAATTGTCTCTAAAAATTACAAAACAGTATATTTCTTATTTATATTTATATATTTTAATATATTATTTATAGTATAAAAATTAAAAAATGAAAATAAATAAATAAATTTTAAGATGTGTATATCTTTAATATTATAGTTTGTACATGGAAGAAATACATTGAACTGTTGTTGTAACTATTTAATAAAAATCACTTAATACGGATACTCATTTCATAATTTTCTTTAAAATCATGATAGAAGAAATTGAAGGGAGAAGGGAGAGAAACCATAGTTCGAAATTCGACGAATTCAAAATGAATCAAGGTATGTTTTTCTTCCGATTAAAGATTGTGAAAATCATCTTGTTTAAGATCTTGAGGATTTAAGACTTATGTAAAATCAAGTTTTTTTGTTTCGAATTCTTTTACATAAATTATGATGCGAGTTTATGCAAAGAGTTAGAGAACTCTATGAAGTCTTACAATTTAAACATTTTTATACACATAAATATCAAATAATTTAATTATAAAATAACATAAATTATTCATTATTTTTCAAATAATTATATTATATTATTTAATTATCTAATTACATTAAAATAACACGTTATGTATAAAAATAAAATATCTATAATAAAAATAAACTCATCATAATGCAAAATAAATCAGAATGTTATAACAAATTTTTTGTACTGCTGATATATTATATAAATATTTATAGAACACAATCAATACATAAAAATTTGTTTCAAATAACTTTTTTATTGCTTTCTAAAATAATTTTTCAATATAAAAATTTTTTAAACTAAAAAATCTATAAAAAAAATAAAAATTTTTATACTAAAAATATCTTTCAAAAACAGTAAGAAAATAATTTCAAATGAAACCTTAATTTAACATTTCACATTTTAATAATGATTCAAACTAAGGCTTCGCTTGGGATGACTTTCTTATTGCTTCTTAAAGTAACTTTTTTTATATAAAAATTTTACTGCTTTACAAAATGGTAAAAAAATTGTTTCTAACGAAGCCTAAGAATCAAATAATTTTATTTTGGGAGATTTACATACATACCACTTAATACTATTCTATTTACATATTTAACACCTAAAACTCTAATATTACATACATACCACCTATAGTTCATTTTCATATCAAATATGAGTGGTAGAAATGAAATGTATGAGTGATAGGAAAGAAATATAAGTGGTATATTTGATATTAAAATAATATATGATGGTATGCATGTAATATTAAAATTTTGGGTGTTAGATATGTAAATAGGATGTTAGAAAGTGGTATGTATGTAAATTTCCCTTTTATTTTTCACAGTATAATGCCAAGCTTCCACAACTAATGAATCAACAAAACCGTCAAAATTTACAGAAAGAAGATGAAAAAAACAAGATATTCCAGTCAAAATTTCACTCTGCAACTCAGAATCTGTGATGTTGTAGTACACAGATGATACAGAACCACCACTTAGGATGAGTGTGATTCTCTCACATGCAACTCTCAATAAAAATAACTTTGTTTCTTCAGCAAGGAGAGCTCGCAATCTTCATAACAGAGGAGAAGTGCATGGAAATCCCACTGATATGGAATCCAGAGAGGTTGATTGATATATGCAGCCATTTCACTGAATGAAAAAGAAAAATTTTCTCTTATTCAGAACTGTGAACTCCATGTCAAAACTATTATATGCAGCCTAAGCTTCGTTTGTAATAGTTTTAGGGCTTTTTTTTTTTTTTTGACTTTCTAGAAATTTTTGTACTAAAACGTAACTTTATAGAAAGCAGTCCCAAACGAAGCCCTAATCATTTGCTTCCAGGCTTATCCTCATCTTAGATATTTTCAAAAGTTTACTTCAAAAAATGATGATAATCATTATGAAATCAAACTTGATTAGTCGGATTTCTCAAAGCAATTTTTAAGTACAAGAGATTTTTGGGACGGCTTTCTTACTGCTTCTTAAAACAGATTTTTAATATAAAAAGTAAAATTTTTGTATTAAAGCAATTTTTAAGTATAAAAATTTTAATTTTTATAATAAAAAATTATTTTAAGAAGCAGTAAAAAAATAATCCCAAATGAAATCTTACCTTCATTAAAAAGTTGGATGGATCATCAGGTCATGATTCAGATGTTTTTATTTGTAGTAGGAAGCCATGATGTAGAGCATAATTGATGTTGCCGTAGTAACAATTAGTTCCTGTCCATGCACAAATATAAATTAATACAAAATGAATTTAGAGAACAGGCATTGGTGAAAATCTGCTTGCATTTATGCATTTGCTATAACAACAGAGAACAGGCTAATCGTACAAAGGCTTCATGTTGCTAAGTATGCATGATCTATGATGAGTTTAAGAAAAAGTTCTGTTGGGGAGTGATTGTGTTAGACCGGTCCACTGCGGGATTGGCTTACAGGCGAAGTAGAGGCGGAGGTTCCGCCTCTTGTACGAGCCACAGATGCAGCGAGATCCAAGGGAGCTATTTTGTGCATTAAATAGTTTGTTTTCCTAGGGTTAGGACATTTTGAATTTGGCTGAAATTTGAGATCTCTTAGGTTTCTTTTGAGCTCTAGCGGCATCTAGAGATTTGGGAGAGATAGATCCTCCTCTCGAATTGAAGATCAATTGTATTTTGATATTTTTCATTTCCCTTTTATCAAATAATACAAATTATCTATTATTTTCGTGATTTTGTGTGGATTTTTGGGGAGAATTCTCGCTGTTTTCCAAGAAATGATAGGAAATACTTGAGATCTATAAGTGTTTTCTATTAGATTGCTGATGCATAAGGGAAGATTGTTAAAATAAATGAGAGAATTTAGTTTGCACCCCTTAAATCAAATAATTGAAAAATATATTGGTGCAAAATATTTGGCTATCTCCAATAGAGCTTTTGGGTTAAAAACATTAGTTCCCTTTTGTTTCACACTAGTTATAAAATATCATTAAAAAAAAAAGAGAGATTACCTGATTGTTGTACAAAAACACAGGAATGCAATGTCCAAGAAACTCAATCAAATTTAGGATTCCTGTGTACCCCTAGAACAAGTAAAATATAAAATGAGATAGATTAATCAATTGAGTATCTGAAAAGCACAATTCCACTCAGTAATGTTAAAGCATCCAAGACCCAAGTAAATGAGGGGTTCATGTCATTTACCAACGAAGAAATAGCGATACATCCAAAAACAAGTGAAAGAGAGCGAAGCATACGCTTTCCCATACGTAATCCCCTACCTTCATCCTCACCATACTCCTGCAACATATGGTCAGCAGGAACTCAGTTGCAGCTATTTGCCTTAACTAGGAATTTATCTCATAAACTTCTATTATAAATTTCCCAAAATGAAAGCGCATAATATAAGAAAATTTTAAAATTCACATTCTATAAATTCATTGGCGCGATCAAGCAAAAATTTTAAAAAAAAAAAAAAGAAAAAAAAATCTAATGATGTATTCTTTCACTCACATTTAATGTAGAAGATACTACTGGCTCAGAAGCTTTCAACTTCTCAAAGATACGGTAAAAAAATATGAAAGCTAGAAATTGCAGAGGCCTCCATTCAGCATTACGGTTGACAAAAATCCATATTGCCTGAAAGATGAAGTTGAGATATGTTCGTCATCAAATTCAAATAATTGAAATAAAAAGCATATGCATGTATCAAAAGAGTAGATAATAAATATAAATGAGCTACAGATTTCATAAACTGTACTCTTTTATTTATATCATAACAATATTGCAGCATGTTCTAATGAAAATAAATCTGATTTGACAAACTTGTAAGCTATTTCACTCTCTTTCTGCAAGTAAGTTCATTAACATAATTTTTAAATCTAAATAATAAGAAGATATGAAGCAATTTCAGTCCTACATCTAAACTAGAAAATTTTTCGAAAAGCTCCAAAAGATAATGTGATTAATCACCAAAATTTGCAAAAGGTTAACGGCACATTTTTCCTGTATGAAGGCAAAAAGTTTTAGTTTTTTTTTTTCCCTTCAAAGCTATAATTTCTAGCAGCCAGATGAATAGTTGAGGTAAGAGCAACTGATAGCCTGACAGCTATTATGGCTTCCCATAACAAGCGACTATGATGTTACAGACTGAAACGAAGGAAAGCAGACAATGATTTTTTATATAAATGCGTTGTAGATGACAAAGCAAGATCAAAGGGAAGCAGTAAGTACTTACAAAGACTGCCGAAATAGCCATATTGATCCGCATATCTTTTACGCTGGATTTTGAATACCTACAACAGAATAAATTAAATTGAAATTATTCATAAATGATGATCAGAGAAAGGGAAGAAAAGGTGTATATGCCATCAACTATTGTAGAATTTTCTAATTTTCTGAATCTCCTCACTTCTCACTAAACATTCCGAAATACAATTGTTAGTGCAAGATAATCCGCTGGTAACCTAGAATGGCTGCTAAACATATTGCACTTATTTATGCCTAGAGATTGAATAGGCAGAACATTAGGCTTAAGAACAGAAACCATGACAAAAAAATAGCACCATAAGCATAGCAAAATCAAGCTTTTACAAATTTGGATCGAATATCATATCAAATATGTTAAATCGCGGCCTCTCTCTCTTTATAGTGATCCCACGAACACAAATAAGGATCTGTGGGAAGCCCGCTTGAATTACGATGATTCCCTTCCATAGTTAGGTAGCTAATTTAGGAAGGAATATATGAGTGCAATAATGTCTGATTTTATAATTTAGTTATTTCTTTATTTAACATTCTATATAGATCTATAAATAGGGATGAAATTGTGTAATAAAGAATAAGTTTTCCCTCTAAAATTCCTAAATTCAACAAAATATTTCATAAATTCTAAAATAGCTGAACAAGGGGCCAACATGTAGCATGTAGAACAAGTAAACCAGCAAAAACTTAGGCTACAACATATATTACAACACGTAAGTTATCTTCACAGAATAATAAGCAGATGCTTGAAATAATATAAGCAATACAAAAGATAACCTGGGCCCCCATGGTACAATTGGCTGTTTGTCAGCATACTTGATATCCTTCGAGACCTAAACATAATAAAAAATACACTATCACGACATGATAAAACGGTAAAGACAAACTTCCAGTAAAAATGGTGGATGAAATATAAGTGAAACAGATCAAATCCTACTCAACTATCAAAAAAGAAACTTGAAAGATCATGGCCTGCCTGTAACGATATGCTTGCAAATATAAGTTTGACCAAAAATATAACATAAACAGAAGCAAATAGACAAGTCTGACCTGGAATTGACCAAATGTGAGACCTTTCTTCCGACTTGTAAGCTGTGACATCATGATTTTATCATATGCCTTCTCTAACTGACAAAATCAAATATTGAAAATCAGCTGAAACATTCCATACTTATATAATATGTGGTAACCCATAACCATGAAAGACCCAAAACTTCAATGAAAATAAATAATTAAAGGAAGCAATATGAGGTAAAAGTCAGTATTAATACACTCACTATAGTTGAAGTAACAAAAAAAGATGACTTCTTAACCTACTTTGGCCAAATATGCTTCATCACCTCTTTTCTCAGCATCCTTCCTCCTCCTTGTATATGCTGCCTTCATCATATCAAACCCTTCTATTGGATTCACGCCAAGAACCTAACATGGCCAAAGATGTTATACCAACATGGAGTTATATCATTCATAAAATTCACTAGTTGATAAAATTTTTACTCGCATGTTCACTAGTTGATAAAATTTTTACTTGCATGCATGGTCACCTCATATGGATTTTCATCACCATCCAATTGCGGGCTTCCTGCAGCAGACGTGGCCATACAGGTCATTCCCTGGTTCCTCCTAGGCATCCGACAAAGCCTACATCCACAGGAGTCCGTTAAACATGGCAAATCCAAGCACATCAAAGAAAAAAGAGAATCCCATAGACTATAAAGATGCCTTCGTGTTGGGTTATATGAAATTAAATGAGGGGTGATACATCAAAAACAAGAGACTTAGATTTCTACAACAAGCTACTTTGGATCTAACAAATTTGAATGTGAATTTTGAAGAGGAAGATAAAATTTTGAGATAATATGCTCTCTAGCATCTATTTATAAACAAATTACCACCACTATGGAAAAACACTATATCCTTGATAGAGGTGAAGTCTACCTTTCTATCAAATGAATAAAGGAAAAGGTGCAAGGAGACATAAAAAATCAAACAACAACAACAACATCAAGCCTTTGTCCCACTACGTGGGGTCGGCTATATGAATTCTTCTTCGCCATTGTGTCATGTAAAAGTCAAATTCTCATTTAAATCTAATAAAGAAAAATCATTTTTAATATTTTCTAACCAAATCTTTTTAGATCTACCTCTACCTTTCCTAACATAAGTCAAATTTAATACCTTAACTTTCCTAACCGGGTTATTGGAAGGCCACAGTTTAATGTGATCAAATCATATAAGGCGACTCTCTCTAATCTTATCTTCCACTGGAGCTACTCCAACCTTTTCACGTATATGCTCATTTTGTATCATATCTCTAAGGGTAAAGCCAATCATCCACCTAAGCATCCTCATCTCTGCAACACTTAACTTAGCATTATACTTCTCTTTTAATGGCCAACATTTGGCACCATAAAACATTGCAGGTCTCACCACCATCTTATAGAATTTTCCCTTAAGTTTGAGTGGGACTTTCTATCGCACAACAAGCCCGATGCATTCATCTAGTTCAACCATCCAACTTGAATTCTGTTGATAATATCCTCATCTATTTCACCATCACTCTGAACAATAGATCAAAAATATCTAAAATAAGTACTCTTATTAATGACTTGATCGCCCAAAGTCACAATCCCCTCACTAGATCTATTGCTAGTAAAATTACACTCCATATATTTAGTTTTAGATCTACTCAAGCGAAAACCTTTAGACTCTGAGGTTGACCTCCATAATTCAAGTTTACCTTCAACTCCCTCTATAGTCTTATCAACAAGAAGAATATCATCAGCAAAATACACCAAGGTACATCCTCTTGCAAATGTCTAGTGAGAACATCCATGACTAAAGCAAAAAGATATAGGCTTAAGACTGGTCCTTGATGTAATCCAACTGAAATAGGAAAATACTTGGTCAAACTACCTTGTGTTTGAACCTATGTTGCACCGATACTCCCATTTACGAAGGCGTGCTGTATCCGATACACCGATACACGGTACGCCTCCGATACGCCACCAATATGTGTCGGATACGCCAAAGCCGTATCCAATTAAAATACTATTTAATTTCAAAAGTACAAGCGTATCGGCGCGTGTCCGTTGAAAAACAAAAAGAAATCCGAAAAAAAAAAAGATGTGTTGTATTTACTTCCGCGGATGCGAGCAAGGTTCTCTCATTTCTGATATGGATTTGAGTCTCTTGATGATATGAGAATATTAGAAATTACTAATCTTTCACTTGATGAGCCTGAATTAGAAGCTATGATATTTATTGAAGATGATATAAAAGTTCAAAGACAAACCACTAAAGAAGCTAATCATATCATTCCTTCTATTGAATAGTTGAAACTTCATGTGCTAGACAATTTATGTGTATGCTTTTGTTGTTGTACTAGACATTTAATACTTATATTTTGATATGATAAACTACAAGGCTACAAATGATGTTGTTGTCATTTTTTTTTGTAATTTCAAATATTATGCTTTGATTGCTTTCTTAATTTTTAATGTTGCACCAATACACCTATTTATGAAGGCGTGCTGTATCCGATACACCGATACACGAATACACCTCCGATACTCCACCGATACGTGTCGGATACACCAAAGATGTATCCAATTAAAATACTATTTAATTTCAAAAGGACGCGCGTATCCGATACACGTGTCCGTTGAAAAACAAAAAGAAATCCGAAAAAAAATGCGTTGTATTTACTTCCGCGGATGCGAGCAAAGTTCTCTCATTTTTTAGATGGATTTGAGTCTCTTGATGATATGAGAATATTAGAAATTACTAATCTTTCACTTGATGAGCCTGAATTAAAAGCTATGATATTTATTGAAGATCATATAGAAGTTCAAAGACAAACCACTGAAGAAGCTAATCATATCATTCCTTATATTGAATAGTTAAAATTTTATGTGCTAGACAATTTATGTTTATGCTTTTGTTGTTGTACTAGACATTTAATGCTTACTTATATTTTGATATTATAAGCTACAAGCTAGGCTACAAATGATGTTGTTGTCATTTTTTTTGTAATTTCAAATATTATGCTTTGATTGATTTCTTAATTTTTATATATGATTTATAAATTATGATGTCGTGTCCGCGCTGTACTCATATCCTGTATTTTTAAGAATTGACGTGTCCCGTATCCGTATCGCGTCGTATCCGTGTCGCCGTATCCGTATCGGTGCAACATAGATTTTTATGTATGATTTATAAACTATAATGTCGTGTCCCCGCCGTACCCGTATCTTATATTTTTAAGAATTGACGTGTCCCGTATCCGTATCGTGTCGTATCCGTGTCGCCGTATCCGTATCGGTGCAACATAAGTTTGAACACAAGTAATAGCTCCTGCATACATATCTTTAATGATTTGAATATAAGCGTTATTAACTGATTTCTTTTCAAGAACTCTCCATAGCACGTCTCTTGGAACTTTATCATATGCTTTCTCTAAATCAATAAATATCATATGTAGATCCTCCTTTTCTCTCTATATTTCTCCATCAAACCTCTCAATAAATGTACGGCTTCCATAATAGACCTATCCGACATGAATCCAAATTGATTTTGAGAAACATTAGTATCACACCGCAACCTACTTTGCCCCCATAGATGTAGGTCATTTTTTATGAAACCAAGTAAATATTGGTGTTTTTTGTCTTTGTGTTAGTGGTTATTATTTTATAACATATCCGTGTGTATGGTGCTAGTTTTGTTTATCAAAAGTTAATTCAATTGATCTCTTTGTTGCTCACAAGAAATTTTTTTCGGCAATTCTATTGCAACACTTCGGATGAAGTGAATAGTACTTAGGGTCAGTTTGTTTTAATTTAAGTATTTTACATGAACATAGACCTAATGTTTATCTAGATAGCAATGAGATCCATTTTCATCTATGATCATATTAAATTTATAACATTTTTGTATATGGATTCCAAGCCTTCATAAGTGAAACTCAATTCTCTCTTTCATGAACTTGATTTAAAAAAAAAAAGAACTCACTTTCATTGACTTCTATTACCAAAACAAACACATGATTACCTCTAAACAAATCAGCCCTAAATGAAACAAATTTCAGGCAGATTATAGTTTGATTCTCAATCTGCACCCATTCGATTTGAAAATTGAGATTTTCAACCCTTATTTCATCTCCTCCATTCTCAAATGACTAAACAAAGAATAACAATATCGCCATTTTAGCTTGCTGAGAAACAATAGAAGCCAGGTAAACCCTAATATTTCATTAAACAAAAGATTCAGCAAAACACAAAAAACAATTTTTTTCAGATCGAGCGGAGGGGAAAATTTAAAAAGCGTACGCTCACCTTACTGAGGTGAATAGGGGTGCGCCCGTAAACGTTGAGCTGGAAGAAGCTCGGCTCCGGCAACTTGAAAGGCGTGACGGGAAGCAAGTGGCCGTTGGCAACAACCTTGCCATTGCTACGATGAGGATTAGGGTTTTAACTGTTTTCCTATAAAGAGTTTGCGGAAGAGGAGAACTTCTAAATAGGTTCTAATTTCGCATAGCAGTTTGGTTTCTGATGCTAAGAGATGTTAAGTTTTGGTTTTTTGACCCCCTAACCCGAGCTCTTATCTCATACGCTCTCCTAGGGTTTATATTATAACACCTAGAGTCTAATTTGCAAAAAAAAAAATCTATTTATTTGTTAATTAATCTATTAGAATCATTAATCTTTTTTAATTAATACAATCATCAATGAAAGAAGCTATAAATTATATTCATTAAAATAACTGATTGTATTCATTTCTCAAAATTTATATATAATACTAAAAAGTTCAATTCATATATTCATAAGTCTATTTTTTAACTCTTGAATATAAAACAATAAAATATACAAATGAGGCCTTTTATTGGAGGGAATGTCTTGGCTTGCACAGAAGGTAGTATTTGCAGTTGATTACAAATGAGGCCTTTTATTGGAGGGAATGTCTTGGCTTGATGTAACAAATATACATCATATAGAGTGTGTTACATGGTGAAAATAGGAAGAATCATTGTTAAAGTGTTTGTTTGGTCGGAAGGACCATAGTTCAAATTTTTTATTGAACCTTCCAAATGCACTTCGGGTCTTTGATTTGGACTCATTTGTAATCAACTACAAATACTAGCGAATTCATTCAAACTGGGCTAGACCCCATGGTTTTCCCATAATTAGGGTTTTCCATATAAAAATCTTGGTATCTCTTATAAATGTTGCACAATCTCTTTTATCTGTATGTGTGTTGGATCTTCATACAATGCTAAAATATTAGAATTTATACTTCTCTACTGCCGCGAATATTCCATGACATAACAGTTTGCGTTGTCTATGGGAACGTGGTTCCTGACTGGGGGATAATTTTTGCGCTAACCTTAAAAGGTTGTTTATGCCAACATCTTGGCATCAGCTATTGCTGCATCAATTTCATAGAAATTAAATTTAAATTGAGGGGCAACCTTGACTACAACCATGATCAAGAATATTCCTCCAACTCTTCCAATATCCAAGACTATATATTAGGATCATAAAGCTTCTAGCAAATACAAAGATGCATCCAATAAATTTCAAGCTTTGCATAGTCCATAGCTAGACTTATACTCTGGCCTTAGGCAATGTCTTAATCTAAACCTAAAAAAAAAGTAATGGTCTAAAGATAGACATTTCTTCATATTTGATTTGGGATACATGCGGCATTCGCCTTCTCCCAATCAAGGTGAAATCGATTACACAGGGATTCGATTCGACCTCTTCTACACATGTTAACATCATCAAGCGATGCTCTAACATGCAACCTCAGATAGGTCATACATCATTTGTGGATTCTTTCGACCTCTTTCATATAGGTTAACATCATCAAGCGATGCTCTGACATTCAACCTCGGATAGGTCATACATCCTTGGTAGATTCTCTCAACCTCTTTCATATAGGTTAACATCAATGAGTAGTGCTCTGACATATAACCTCGGATAGGTCATACATCATTGGTGGATACTCTCGACCTCTTCCAAATAGGTTAATGTAATCGAGCAATACTTTGACATATAACCTCAGATAGGTCATACATTCTTGGTGGATTCTCTCGACGTCTTTCATATATGTTAACAACAACGAGCAGCACTCTTACATACAATCTCAAAAAGATCATACATCCTTGGTAGATTCTCTAGTCGTCTTCCATATAGGTTAATGACATCGAATCAACACTCTGATATACAACCTCATATAGGTCATACATCATTTATGTATTCTCTGAACCTCTTTCACAAAGGTCAATGTCATCGAGTAATGCTCTAAGTGAACAATATTTCTCGATAGAGATTACATGAAAGCAAGTGGATGATAAAATCATCACTTATATGAAGAACTTAGCAGTCTAAAAAAGCCTCAAAATATGCAGGGGGCAATATATCAAAGCATGTCTAAAAGATATATAAATAATTTATATTCCTTTATGGGACAAGTTGATTTCAAATGAAAAATAAGCATTGAGCTCATACAAATTTATATGCAATATCAATAGAATCACATTGCAAAATTATATATCATACTCAATTATACATTCATTTTTGAAAAAAGTTGAAACTAAAGTTACATCAGAATCATCATATAAACAAACAACTTCAAACAACTTCAAAAATGTCAAATATCATTGGTAGGCGATATTAACTTCTTCTTTAATGCACATTGAAGCATCTCCTACAACTTCCTCTTCAAAGAAAAGTTAAAGATTATAACATGATCATCACCAGGCCTCCACTCAATTGACACTATTAGTGTGGCACCAAACTACTAACATGGAACACTGCTTCGACTCCTTTAATCAAGGATATATGATGTTCGCACACATTAGTATAAATGATTATTACCTTAAAAGAATGCAACTTAACCATCGCCATTATCAGTCTTTTAGCTGATGTATGCCTTCGGTTCTTCATTTCATATCAGCCCTCATCAACTTCTCACTCAACTACTAATAGTGGCATACCCTCCAACTATTTCCTTCAGCTCTCCACCCGATTGTCGATAGTTGTTGGACTTTTGCCCAATCACCGATCGCCGCCACACTTTCACCTGGACACCAATTGTCGCCAAATTTTTGCTCAAACATCATCAAAATTCTTCATGTTTATTGAGAATCATTGGTTCTCTTCCCAGGTATTATTATCGCCAGATCTTCTCTAATCACCCTTGAATACAGGCAGATGTTGATCTTCTTCTATCAAGGTTTGTTTATTCTCTCATCGTGACTTCTTCTACATAAAAGAGGGGTATTGAAGCTCGATATGGGATATCACTTATTTCAAATAGTAGAATGCTTTCAATGTAACAAGAATACAAGAGAAAAAATGAAGGAAGTGAAAGCTCATTCTACAAAGAAGATGAGCACTAAAGCTTGATAGGAGATACCACATATCTCTAATAGTAGAATGCCTCTAAAATAAGAAGAAGAGCACAGGAAAAGAAAAAGGGAGGAGAAGAAAGCTCATTCTACATAAAAGAGGAACACTAAATCTTGATAGGGGATGCTGCCTATCTTAGACAATGTAATGCTTCTAATGTAAGTAGAAAGCTAGATGAGAAAAAAAGGGAAGGAGGAAGAAATTTCCTTCTACATAAGAGAGGGGCACTAAATTTGAGTAGGGGATGTCACCTACAAAAATTAGGGGAATGCCTATAATGTTAGAATAAAATTGAGGAAGAAAATGATAGGAAGTCCAAAAATTATAACTTCTACACATGAGAGGGGCACTGAATTTAAGTAAGGGATGTCACCTACAAAAAATAGTGAAATGCCTCAATTGTAAAAAAAGTTATAATGAGAAGGGAGGAGAAGAAATTGAACAATTTTTCTCTTGCCCCAATGGGGGTATTTATAAGACAAAAAGGGAAGAAAATAGTCAAAAAAGAGGGTATCATTTACCTCCAAAAATGTTCAAAATTTTTCAAAATGCTTCTAAAATTTTTAGAAATTTTTTGGGCCATCACATACCATTTTTTGGAATTTTGAAAAAAAAAATTATGGGTCATACAACAAAAAAAAGTTTAAAAAAATGAAAGAGGGGCGGCGACTGTAGTCGCCCCATCAAAAACAAATGTTACATTAATAATTAATAACTCTAAGTTTAAACCAACAAAATGACATGAAAATGGGAGCGCTCAAGGAAAGAGAAGCTCTGGGAAAAAGATGCGATTCTAGGGTTTTAAGGTTTGTGAGGGCAAACGATGCCCTAATAGGTTCGTTCGTTTCGTTTTTCTTTGTGTTTCTATGGATCTTGCAAAAGATTTTCCACTATTGCCTTCAGGTAAATCTTTGGATACCTCATCTAGGGTCTCACCGAATAGTAAGAAAGCCTGGAACGGTTTATTGACATCTACTCAATCTTCTTCCAAACCTTATTATGTTTCTTTTGTTCAATCTTTGGATAATCTTGCACATTTTTGTTGCTACGGAGTTAGAAAAATGAGGATTAACTTTAATCGGGTATTCTTTGGGTAAACGGCCATATTTTGAAGCTTTACATGCTGTAATGCTTAAAACATGGAAGTTAAAAGGGAAACTTAATCTTTTTGCTTTAAGTGAGGGTTTTTTCCTTCTTAAGTTTTCTTGTTCTAAAGATTTTGATATGGTGTGGTCTGGAGGACCGTGGTTCTTTTTTGAAAAATCTTTTATCTTATAGTTATGGTCACCTTTATTTCATCCTAAGCGTGAGGAATTTTCCTCCACTCTGATATGGATTAAAATTATGGATTTACCTTTAGTATGCTGGATGCCTGATGGTATTTATAAGGTTGCTAGTCTTGTGGGTGTTCCTATTTCTATTGATGTTTTAACAACATAACAAAGAAGACTTACTTATGCTAGAGTTTGTGTTCTTATTAATAAAGATTCTTCCATTCTAGATGCAGTGAACATTTCTATTGCTGGACACATTAGTTCTTTAAATATTGTGTATGACTGGAAGCCATCTCCGTACTCTGGATGTGGTTCTTTAGTTTATTATTTTTTTCATTGTCCGTCTAAATCGAAATATTCTAATGAGGTGAATCTTGTGCAAGAAAAAGAGAAACCTAAGGTAGGTTTGGATAGAGGACGTAGTAAGACTAGGAGATGGGTGAAGTCTACTCATTTTATCCTTATAACTCAAGCTCATAATGTAATTAAGCAGAATAATATTTCTAATACTTCTACTGAGAATACCTCTAATTTGAAGGTTTTTTTCAGATGCTTTTCTAAATTTTGATTCAGATATTATTTCTAAGGTTCTTGAAGAATCGAGGGAAGGGAATTTAATTTCTAATAAGCAAGATAAGATTTCTTTTCCGGAGAATTTTATTTTGAATAAATTGAAAATTAATTCTTCTGGTTTAAAAGAGGCTTTACCTAATCTTAATTCTCCTTCAGAAGATTTTTTTTAGAATTACATGAACATTCAATTTCTGTGATGGATAATAATTTACCTTATGCTAATTGTTCTTATAAAGACACTATTATTATAAATAAGTTTCAGGCTTGGATGGGTTTGAGGATAATCTGGCTGATTCTGAAAACGGTAATGTTGAAGTTGCTTTGGCTACTTTTAATA